AGCCTTTGCTTGTCTTTTTGAGACCTGGTTGAGATCTTTGTGGAGAACCACTACTGTCATTCACTAGCTCATATCTGCCAGCAACTTGGAAGAGAATCAAGATTTGAAGATTGACCTTCACTTCTTACAGTCCTTTCTACGATGGAATGGAGATTTTCAACGCCAAAATGGCTATTATGTTTCAAAAATGGTTTAAGTATTGAAAATGAGTGATGTTGGTAAAGTGAATTCAAAATTACAATGTGTAAAAGGGATTTTAAAGTCTAACACAAATTGTATGTTATGGTACATCTACTAGAAACATTATCATCAAAAGAAATGTTACACGTGTACTATACAGTCTTTGTTATGATGATTGGTGTGGCTTTATGTTTTCATTATAAACTCCTCTGTTTTTCAGGGGCTTATAATTCTGCTCTAAAACATTGCTCTGGATTATGAAATCTTCATCCCAGGAGCTTTTCTGTTACAAATTGGAAGAAAAATTTAGTTTAGTTCTATGGATGCAAATGTTTTTTGGTTTTTATAAGATGCTTACTCGTGCTCCTGTGAGGGAAGTTCCGGCAGTTTATTGATTAGTCCAAATTATAGGCTGGTGGCTTGATTTGCAGGAGGCATTGGGGAGACTCCCTACCAGATTTTTCCAAAGGAAATATTACTCAAGATTATAAAACTCCTCAAAGCCTAGAAATTTAATGTTATGGCTGAAATTCCTCCCAGCTTTCTGATACGAGATCCCTGTGTGGGAGCTCTGGGCCCACAGGCCTAACAGGTTGAGAACAGACAGCTATAACTTTGAATTTTGTTGGGTTTTGATGGTCATGCTACTCCTAGTCTCCCTCTCAGACCTTTCATTACTAGGCTTGCTTTCCGTAGAGCATGCACCAGATTCAGGGAGTCCATGTGAAAAGAGCACTGTGGGCAGTGACAACAGCACAAGAGTCCACGAGGAAAACTCCTGGTGATGATCTGACATTTGCATTTGCCCTACACAAAAATTTAGGGGTTTCTGAATCAAGCTTAATGTTTACAGTTTCCGAATAGCCATCTTGCAGTGTATAGTTTCCGTATAAAACTACCCACAGTTTTCCCCTTACCTGCAAGCTCAAACTTATTTTTAAGGTTTGTGCACAAGTCAACTGCTGTAAAGATATATATTTTTGGGTCAGTTTTTTTTCCTTCATTAACTTGGTGGTAGAAAAATATATATACTTAGAAATCCTTAAATTAAAGCCATGTTTTATATATAAGTCAGGTAACATTGGTGTATAGATGAGAATGCAATTAAACCTGATGAGGATCTACTGGAAGAGAATACAGAAAGTGTCTTTCTCTAAAGGAGATACTTATTTCCTGGTTTATTGCATTAAAACTTACGTTTGAGGTTACCTCAACTTGTTTTAAAAGGTTTTGTTTTGTGAATTTGTACTGTATATTTGAGTAACTGTCAAGCTTTTGTTTATTTAAAATTGTTTAACATGTACCATGTACATGTCATTACTATATTTCAATGCATCATGCTTGTAACAGGCATTTCATTTATAATAAGAATGAGTTATTCATTTGTAAGCTGTTCAGTAATTTATCTACTATTCCTAAATTGGCATAATGTTAGATATCTATTTTGAATCACCTTTAATTACATGTCAGAATGCCTTAACTACCCTAACTTGACAAAACAGAATTCTTTGGTAGAGGAGATAGGGGTCAGGGCCGGGAGGGGTGGGTAGAGGTACATTCTGTTTAAATAATGAGTACCCATCGTGCTATGATAAAACACGGAAGCGTGAGTGGCAAGTGGCAGGGTATTTATTTTGCACAAACTGTTTGCAGTCTCTGTATATTTAAAAAGTAAAGAAAGTTGCATCCAGAAGGGTTTTGTTAGAAGGAATACATTTATATTTGGGCTGACAATTTCAGTTCTTTCGTTTAGGTTTTTAATTATTTCTGGTCAGAGGTATGCAGCCTTATGATCTGGATATATTTTGCATTAATTTTCCAATGCCTACATTTAATTCCTTGTAAGAGCAGTGCTGGTCAAGTCACTGGCTTTGTTCTCATTTAACCCATCAAACACAATCTTTATAAAGCTAGATTGGTGGTGTTTTACACGATTCATTTAATCAGCTTAGTCTTTTTGGAGAAATGACCGTAAGAAATCAACGTTTGTGTCAGTGATACTGAAAATAGACAAGAATTTGAGTTTCACAATGGAACTGACTTTGGACCTGGCCTATAGATTAGTGACACAGAATATTTTCTCGATTTTCTTTTTGCCCTGTCCCTTGTGTGTGACACAATTAATTTTATGACTGCCGGGGGGTGTGGGGGGGTGATCAGTTGGAGTGCTGCTTAACAAGTAACTCTCCTTCCACTCCCAGTAGTCAAGAGGCTCTGCTGGACCCATACTGGAATTTTCCAGGACACAGAACCCAAGTCTCTGTGGGGTGTGACTGAGATATACCACTTGTGGGTCTGATTCTGAACTTGATATGTGTGTTAATTGTATTTTAAATCAAGCAGCATAAAACACACACACATTTGCCTCATGTAATGGACTTTTATAACAAGAGAGAATTTGGATTTCTAATTTACAAATGGCAAATTATTTATCCCTGTCTGGATGCACCAAAGACCAGTAAAGTTTATAGCTTTTCCATCTATATTTATAAAGCAATACTGTATTATAAAAATCAATATTTTTATCACATGCTTGAAATTTTTATTTTATTCTGTTTAAAATGTGCACTCGAAACATATCAGAACCTTATTTCTTCCTGTGAACTTAAGCTGCCTGCGCACAAAAAAAATTTACTGAATGGATAATGCAGTAGAGTCCAGAGGCTCTTAAAAACTGAAAGAAGAAATGGGGGTGGGGGAAACAAGTTATTTGTCCTGAATTACTGTACTGGCTTGACATGGTTGATAGGTACTAAATCACAAAAGAATCCATTCCAGGTATGCATGTCTGGGGGGCTGTGCTATGTCTAGAGTAGAAACTAGATTTCAAGCTTTGCATGATAGGAGAGTGTCCTCTTCTATCAGCTGCATTTGTTCTGGATAGAACAGTAGCCTTCAGGACCACCTTCAGTACCACCAACCTACCACATCGAGTAACAAGGCAGGAATTGTGGGAATTCACGGAGTCAGTTTTGAGCATTTTGGAGATTGTAAACAAGATTGGCTAGAACTGTAAATGTTTGTACTTTTGAATAAGTTCATGGTTCCTTGTCACCTTATACCAGCTATCTTTGTTAGAAGCTACAGCATCCAATTTCCCTGGAAACTATCACATTTTTGCAGTTAACAAATTTTTACAATATCAAAAAAATCCCCGAAATCTGCTTATAAAACTGAAAATATGAAGCAGAAAGCATTTGGATTCTATTTATTAAAAAAAATTATTTGCAAAATTGAACTTCTCAATTAAAAAGCAATGGTGTCCATGTCAAAATTTTAAGTGTTAGCAGGTAGTCTGTGGCAAAGATGGCTAAATATGAAGCAAATTTGAATCTGTGTATACTAATGAGCTGCTTTTTTCTGTTGAGACTATCATTATTTGTCTTACCCAAGAGGCAATGACCTGAATTGGATGTCTGAAATATAACTTATGCAGGAATAGTTCTGTAAATACATTTAAATAAACTGTAAAGATATTTAATAAATATAGTATTTATACTAATCTGCGTAACTCCTCTTAACTTGAACCATAACTGAGTAAGACACCAGCCCTTGGCATTTTGTTGGTCTCTATATCATGTCCTCATTTCCAAGCCTCTTAGTCATTCTAGCAGGGACTCCTTACTTTGTAGCTGTCATTTTCTGTCTTTTCCTAGTCTATCCGCCTTAGCTCTTTTTCACCAGCTGGTTTACTACATCAGTTTAGCTGCCTCAAAAATTCCATCAAAATGGACTGATAATTCAATGTAAAATATAGATGTTTTCCCAACTGAGAAGGCTTTTGCATCTTCCAAATGGTATGGAATGAAGCCACAAAAAGATCTGGTGTCATTTAAACTTAACATTCTGTATGCAAATTCTAAAACCCAAATTATATACAATTTAATAGTGTAACTATCTTTTCCAGACTGATGCTGTATCCAGGCAATTACTAATGATGGTGCTTTCACAACCTACACCCCTCTGCCCATTTCAGTGAGTGAACCAGAAACTTCACCCTCTGCAAGGAGACCTACAGTAACTCGGGTATAAAAATGCTCTCTTTGTCGTCATCTGCATCTGTCAGGAATATGTGAAATTCAGTGTTAATCATCAGTGTAAGCATAAGATACGTAAATCTTTAGCCTACAGTGTGAAAGGACTTGAAATTATGTGGGCATTGCGGATTTCCACAAAAAGCTTGGTGAAAGCCCATTTTCATTCATTGAGGAACATTTTGGGACAAACTAGAGTTTTTATTAGGTTATTGTGGGTAGCTCTGACTCACTACTAAGCTATAACAGCCAAATTTATTCTGGTTTTAGTTAGAACTCTTCACAGTTCTAAAGTTTACTAATTCACTCAGCCACCTTTGTGTATGAATTCCTCACAAAATGTAAAGTACAACTGCTTGCCAGTTGTTTCCTTGTGATTTGTTGGTTTCACAAAGACTTCACAGTAAGATGTTACAGAAGTCAAGAGTTTGTCAGGTTACAATTGACTATAAACAGGGGCGCCTGGGTGGCTCAGTCGTTAAGCGTCTGCCTTTGGCTCAGGTCATGATCCCAGGGTCCTGGGATCGAGCCCCGCATCGGGCTCCCTGCTCAGCAGGAAGCCTGCTTCTCCCTCTCCCACTCCCCCTGCTTGTGTTCCCTCTCTCGCTGTATCTCTGTCAAATAAATAAATAAAATCTTTAAATAAAAAAAAAAATTGACTAGTTTGGGGGAGGGAGAGGCATCATATTATGTAACAACGGTTTTGTGCCAGATTTTTTAGTCTGTTTGTTCAGGTAAGAAGCTAATTCTTAAAGGGGCAAAGAACAGAGACATTCATAATCTACCTCATTTTACTCCAAACCTAGGCTCTCGAAGTGGCGGTTGCTGCTCTATGTCAGATAATACAGAAATAATTTTGGCAGCATTTCCATTAAATTCTTTTCTGCATGCCACTGCAAAATGTAAAAATCACATATGAAAATCAGAACAACTTAAGGCTATAAAATAAAATTTTACAGTATATGAAAAGACTCCAAAGTGAGAGGGGTGGCTATATATTTTTATTCTTGACCTTTATTTCAGGGATTATTTTTACTTAAAATCTTAACAGAATATAAAAAGCAATGGACAAAAAAAGTCATGGCATTACATGGGAGGAGACTGCATAGCTTTTTACTATGTCTGAAAGCACCAAAACTCAGATGTTTGCAATCAAATACAAAAGCTCCCTACTAGTCACAGAACTACAAGCCATATTGATCACTCTAGATGGCTGCTGAAAAAGGTCTAAATACCTTTATAAAACTGGCAAAGAAAATGCTAAAAGCTCTAGTGTGAACGTGCATTGAAGAATTCTAATGAGCTTTTTCCCTGCACAGAAGACTCTTCTGCCTCCAAGTAGCATAATGGATTTAAAGCAAATATGTACACTTAACAAGCAGCTATTTCTAGATATGGCTGTTATAAAAGATGATGATGTTTAGCAAAGCAGAAGCCCATCCTCCCATTTCAAGGAAGTCCAAGACAGTATCTTTTAGACTAAATTTGCAAACGTGTTTGAGGTGCAAGTGAGCTAGCACTTGGACCTGGGGGCCAATTGAGCCATCATTAAGTGTTAGAATGTGGAAGAACTGCCATTATTCATGTCCTCTTCACTGTCACTTGCTGTTGCCAGACTGTCAAAAGGGTAGTTGAAGTGTTGTCGCTGGTCAGAAGAAACTGCTCCAAAGAACATGCAAGAAAACTGGAGGGAAAAAAGTAACTCCACTGTTTATTCGAGCAAAAGTTAGTGCTCATTAGATGCTCCAGGTCACAGCCCCTTTTCAGAAATTTGGCCCATGTGGTCTCCCTAACTTTGATGATAATGGCTCATGGAACACCCAAACCTTCATGGCTGGTACAGCACATCCTAAAACAAAACCCTTCCCTGACTAAAAAGAACAGTTTGGGATCACTGATCTTCTGACTCCTCTGCTGGAGCCATTAAAACTCACACCAAGGGAATGACAGACAAAGGGACCCTCTGCAGGCAATCCTACTTGATTAATCCATCTTCTCCCCTTTCCCTCCTGCTGCAGCTGAGGCCACCACTCCCAGCTAAAGCCAATCCTTGCCTCCCTGTCTCTGCCCCCTAGGCCTTTCCAGGCAGCTTCTCTGTTGAATAGGAATATAAGCACTTTAATCAAATGTCTCTGTTGTTTAAAATACAACATAGCCTAGGGACGCCTGGGTGGTTCAGTCGTTGAGCGTTGAGCGTCTGCCTTCAGCTCAGGTTGATCCCAGGGTCTTGGGGTCGAGCCCAGCATCGAGCTCCCTGCTCCAGGGGAGGCCTGCTTCTCCGTCTCCCACTCCCCCTGCTTGTGTTCCCTCTCTCGCTGTGTCTCTCTCTGTCAAATAAATAAATAAAATCTTAAAAAAAATAAAATAGCCTTATCCCATCCCACCCCCCCACCCCCTCCTCAACTATTGCCTTACCTCTGCTGTCAAGCTGTCTACATTCACTGTCTCCATTTTCTCATTCTCTTATTCCTCAGTCCTATTTGAAAAAGCTGCTGACCCCACCACTTCACAAACTGTTCTTACGGTCACCAAAAATCACCACATCCTTAAGCCAATGACCATTTTCAGTCTTCATCCCACAAGATACTCAGACACTTTCTTCTTGTACCTTCCTCATGCCACACTCTTCCTGGTTGCTTTTAGACTTTTCCGCTGGCTGGTCCTCCTCTACCCACCCTTTGAATTAGGGTTTCTCAATCCCAGCACTACTGACATTTTGGGTCTGATGATTCTTTGTTGTAGGGACTGTGCTGTGCAGCAGAGGTTGAGCAGCATCCCTGGCCTCTACCCACTAGACATCAAGTAGCACACCCCTTCCCAAATTGCAACATCCAAAAATGTCCCTAGACGTTGCTCAATGTCCCCTGGGGAGCATAATTGCCCCAGGTTAAGAACCGCTGCTTTCTATGATGGCAGCCCTCCTCTGTACCCTCTCCCTAGGAGATTTCATTCACACCCTTGGCTGAAATTACCACCTATATATGCCAGGGAGTCTCAAAGTTAAAATTTGAACTTCAATCCATATATTCTACTACCTACTTGATTTCTGCAACTTAACATATCCAAAACTGACTGTGATCTTAGTGAGCAGTGAACCTGTTTCTCCAAACCTGTCTTTCTGAAACCTCTTTTTCCTTTAACCTCCATAACCAATCCATTACCAAATCCTGTTATTTTTACCTCCTCAGTTAGTTGTCATCTTTGGCCATGTCCCTCCATCTCTACTATAAGGAATCACCCCCATCTCAGATGCTACAACTGAGCTTCCATTCTTGCCTCACTGTACCCCATTCTCCACACAGTAGCCGCTTTGGCTGCTCTACAGTTATCTTTTTAAAAATTCTACTCTGTACAGTGCACCCAAAATAATAAGATACCTAAGAATAAGCCTAACCAAGGAGGTAAAAGACCTGTTCTCCGAAAACTGTAAAAAACTGATGAAAGAAATTGAAGATGACACAAAGAAATAGAAAGACATGCTCATGGATTGGAAGAACAAATATTGTTAAAATATCTTTACTACCCAAAGCAATCTACTCATTTAATGCAATCCCTAAAAAAATACCAACAGCATTTTTACAGAACTACAAAAACAATCCTAAAATTTGTCTGGAACCACAAAAGACCCCAAATAACCAAAGTAATCTTGAAAAAGAAAAGCAAAGGCTGGAGGCATCACAATTCCAGACTTCAAGTTATATTACAAAGCTGTAGTAATCAGAACAATATGGTACTAGCACAAAAACAGACACATAGATCAATGGAACAGAATTGTGGAAAACACACAATTATATGATCAGCTAATCTTTAACAATCTTTAACAAAATAAGAATATCCAATGAGAAAAAGAATGTCTCTTCAACAAATGGAGTTGGGAAAACTGGACAACATGCAGAAGAATGAAACTGGACCACTTTTAACACCACACACAAAAATAGATTAAAAATGGATTAAAGACCTAAATGTGAGACCTGAAACCATAAAAATCCTAGAAGAAAACACAGGCAGTAACTTCTTTGACATTGGCTGTAGCAACTTCTTTCTAGATATATCTCCTGAGGCAAGGGAAACAAAAGCAAAAATAAACTATTGGGACTAAATAAAAATAAAAAGCTGCTACACAGCAAAGGAAACAACAAACTGAAAGCCAACCTACAAAATGGGAGAAGATATTTGCAAATGACATAGCCAATAAAGGGTTAGTATCCAAAATATATAAGGAACTTATAAAACCCAACACCCAAAAAACAATCCAATTTAAAAAATGGACAAAAGGGGCGCCCCGGTGGCTCAGTTGGTTAAGCATCCAACTCTTGATTTCAGCTCAGGTCATGATCTCAGGGTCATGAGAGCAAGCCCCACGTCAGGCTCTGCGCAGAGTCTGCTTGTCCCTCTCCCTCTGCTCCTCCCCCCTGTCTGGGCACTCTCCCTCAAAATCTTTTAAAAAATGGACAGAAGGCATGAACAGACATTTCTCCAAAGAAGACTTAAAGGTGGCCAACAGACACATGAAGATGTTCATCATCACTTATCGTCAGGGAAGTGCAAATCAAAACTACAATATCACCTCACACCTGTCAAGATGGCTAAAATCAACAACACAAGAAACAACAGGTATTGTTAAGGATGTGAAGAAAAAGGAACCCTTGTGCACTGTTGGTGGGAATGCAAACTAGTGCAGCCGCTGTGGAAAACAGTATGGAGGTTCCTCAAAAAGTTAAAATAGAACTACCTTGTGATCCAGCAATGGCACTACTGGTATTTACCCAAAGAATATAAGAACACTAATTCAAAGTGATACATGCACCTCTATGTATACAGCAGCATTATATTTACAATAGCCAAAATACGGAAGCAGCTCAAGTGTCCATCAATTAATAAATGGATAAAGAAGATGTATGTATATATATAGTGGAGTATTATTCGGCCATAACAAAGAATGAATCTTGCTATTTGCAACAACATGGATAGATCTAGAGACTATAAAGCTTAGTGAAGTTAAGTCAGAGAAAGACAAATACCGTATGATTTCACTCGTGGAATTTAAGAAACAAAACAGGAGAAAAATAAGGGAGAAACAAATAACAGACTCGGGGTGTCTGGGTGGCTCAGTTGGTTAAGCGTCTGCCTTTGGCTGAGGTCATGATCCCAGGGTCCTGGGATCAAGCCCCACATTGGGCTCCCTGCTCAGTGGGGAGTCTGCTTCTCCCTCTCCCTCTGCTTCTCTCTGCCCCACTTGTTCTCTCTCTCTCAAAATCTGTAAAGACAAAAAAACCCAAAAAACAAAAACCAGACTCTTAACTACAGAGAACAAACATGGCTTCCAGGACTCTTCAGGCATCTGGTACTCAACAACTGTTCTAACTTCACCCTGTGCCATTGTTTACCCTTGGCTATCTGCTCTCTGATCACATCGGCCAGCCTTCACTTCCTTAAAACCACCACACTCCATCACATGGCCTTTGCACATGCCATACATTCACCCAACTCCACTACTTTAACCTTTCTAGCTCAGCCCAAACACCAGTTTCAAGGAGAAGGCTTTCTGACCTAGATTAGGTCAGTCACATCTTAAGTCCTCTCAAAGCAACCTGAACTTTTCCTTAATTGAACTTATCACAGTTTAATTAGCATGTCATGTGACTACTTAATGTGTATCTCCCCCCTAGTCTATAATCAAGTTTAAGAATCTTTCTTGTTGGGGTGCCTGAGTGGCTCAGTTGGTTGGGCGGCTGCCTTCAGCTCAGGTCATGATGCCAGGGTCCTGGGATCAAGCCCCGCATTGGGCTCCCTGCTCCGCGGGAAGCCTGCTTCTCCCTCTTCCCCTGCTTGTGTTCCCTCTCTCGCTGTGTCTCTGTCAAATAAATGGATAAAATCTTTTTTAAAAAAAGGAAACTTCCTTGTTTATTTTGCTCTCCATTGTATTTCCTACATCTAAGACACATGACCCTTGACTGATACTTGTGGGAATTGCATGGTAGTTGCATGAATGAATAAATGAATGAGCCTTGTTCTTGGCTCATCCTCACATATCAGAAGGTGAAGATGCCCTCTGCATAGTGGCAGTCTGACAGCAGCTGCGGAATTCTTGCTTCAGATGGAACACCCAAATTAGCTGTGATAGACAGAATGCCCCCCCAAAGGTCTACACATCTTAATCCCAAGAACTGTGAATATGTTACATCATGTGGAAGAGGGAAATTAAAGATAGTAGATGGAATTTAACTTGCTAATCAGCTGACTTGGACCATCCAGGTGGGCCCAATGGAATTACAAGGATCCTTAAATGTGAAGGAGGGAGAGGAAGAAAAAAGGTCATAGTAAAGTGATGTGAAAAAGACTCGGCCAGCCATTGCTGGGTTTTTCTTTTTAATTTTATGAATACATCTCATAATTTTATTAAAAGATTTTATTTATTTGAGAGAGCATGAGCAGGGGAAAGAGACAGAGGGAGAGGGAGAAGCAGGCTCCCCACTGAGCAGGAAGCCCAACGCAGGGCTCGATTCCAGGACCCCGGAATCATGACCTAAGTCAAAGGCAGATGCTTAACCAACTGAGCCACCCAGGTGCTCCCACTGCTGGTTTTGAAGAGGGGAGGGAACCACAAACCAAAGAATGCAGGTGACCTCAAGAAACTGGGAAAGGCAAGAAAACAGATTGTTTTCTTTCTAGAGTCTCCAGAAA